TATCGGTCAATTAGTTCAAACGCAATGAAGAAAAGGGCAAAAAGGAAGGTGTGTGCAAATAAAACAAACTCAAAGAATCGAATCAAAATTATAATAAAAAAAAATAAATAATAAATGTGGTAAATATTGACCTAATGGCTTTAGTTAATTACTTAATTATACTAAATCGCTTTTTTGGTCCGTATTTATATTGGTATTAAATAGTTCATGACGGTGGATTTGTAAAGCTGTTTTTTTGGGACATCCTGTATTATAATTATAATTTTATATTTAGATCTTACTCCCCTGCAATGTTGGGGTCTAGGAGTCAGGATCATCTTGCTAATCTTAGCTTTCTCACCCAAGGGGCCAGAGGTGTTAGGTAGGCCATACAGTGGTAATCAGAGCTGGGATTTTTTAAGAAAAGCCCGACCTAACATAAACCCAAGCTTTTGTAAAATCTGAGTCTTAGATTGGCCTCTGATTGGTTCTGACTCAACCAATGAGAGACTGATTTAAAATTCAATGCCTGCATATGCAGACGAATTAGCTGACAATATCTACATAGATTGAAAACAAATTTATTGTATGCATATTCAGATTTTCATAGTTTTCTTATTTTATAAATCGAGCCAATTTTGACACTTACGATAATTCGCGATATTTTAAATGTAAAAATATAATAGTTTAGGATTTTATCGTTACTTTTTATCTAGAACTTTGTCAAGGATTAGTTAGTTAAGTAGTTTCATTAGGTACAGTTTTAAAATTTACAAGACAAATTTTTTAATTTAAACTGATAACAAATCTCAAAATTAACTCAAAGAAAAAGATAACTCCATACTTACTCTTTCCTTGCTCTAATTCAGGGTTAATAATGTATTTTTGTGAATCCCTGGCGGCACTCTTTAATTAAAGGGATTTTATACGTTCATTTATTGGACCCTCCATTTGTAGATTGTCTTGTTTGATTCACAAAAGAAACCTTAACATTTTAATAGCCTTGTTTTATCAAATTTGTAAATTGGTTATTTTCAACTGTGGAATCTCTTTAAACGTGACTTGCGAATTTTTGTTTCAGAAACAATGGAAGAAAATATCAGAATTAGCACTGTTTTAAGTTTGTAAACGAGAATATTTTCAATCTTGTTTGTTAGATACATGTTTTAAAGGATACCGTTGTGCCCGTCTTTTAAATGGAGGGTCAGTTGAAATTAAAACTATAATTTCGTCAATATTTTCTTTAAATACAAAAATCTTGTTAAGGATATTCAACAACCCTAACAAGGCCTGGGCTATCATATCGTCTAGTGGGAGCGGAGAGGTTCTAATCTCAAACAGTATCTTCCGTCAACTACTTCAAGTTGAAGAGAAGGATAAGAAAATAAGGCAGGGGTTCAACATTAAAAATAATATTGCTTTTTTATTTCCATAAAATATAAAATTTCCCTCACAAATTAATTAATTCAGTGATTCAGCTTTTTCAAGCCAACACAATATCTGAAATCGCCAATTAAAATTTTAAAAGTAGGAGTCGGCGGGTTTTTTTTAAATAACATTTCTGTCGGAAATAATGGTTTTAGGCCCCATGCCTATTGGTATTGTTATTGGTTTTGGTATTGGTATTGGTATTGGTATTGGTGTTGGTATTAGTGGTAATCAGAGCTGGGATTTNTTTTGGTTTTGGTTTTGGTTTTGGTTTTGGTTTTGGTTTTGGTTTTGGTTTTGGTTTTGGTTTTGGTTTTGGTTTTGGTTTTGGTTTTGGTATTGGTATTGGTATTGGTATTGGTATTGGTATTGGTATTGGTATGGGTATGGGTATGGGTATGGGTACTGTTATTGGTATTGGTATTGGTATTTGTATTGGTATTGGTATTGGTATTGGTATTGGTATTGGTATTGGTATTGGTATTGGTATTGGTAATGGTAATGATATTTGTATTGGTATTGGTATTGGTATGGGCATTGGGCATTGGTATTGGGCATTGGTATTGGGCATTGGTATTGGGCATTGGTTAGTGTTAAGTATTGGGTATTGCTATTGGTTGGTTTTATTATTATTACTGGTATATTGTTATTTTTATTGTTTTTTGTATCGGCACTTGTATTGTTTTTTTTTTATGTTTTTGTTATTGCTATTAGAATTGGTATTGACATTGGGTTTCAGTTGGTTTTGGTATGGGAGTTGGTTTGTTATGTGAGTTGGTTTTGGTATTGGTTTTGGTACTGGTTTTGGTTTTGGTGTTTGTTTTTATATTGGGTTTGAAATTGATACCGGTAAATTGTTGTTTTTATTTGTATTGGCATTGGTACTTGTATTGGTTGTTTTTTATTATTTTTGTTATTTGTATTAGAATTGGTATTGGCATTGGGGTTGAGTTGGTTTTGGTGTTGGTCAAGATTTTGCTGTTTACTGTAAAAAATGAAAATGTTTAAAATAGACAATTGTGAAATTTGCTACTGCCTATCTCTAAATATTAGCCCTCTATGTCAGTCTCTGGGAGTATATTGAGACTAGTAGTAAACATAAACACCAAACTATAGAACAACTTGGCCTGGATACAGATACAGGTAATATTAGGTCCACCTGAGCCTTAATTAAAGAGATTGTTTACGTATTTTAAAGTGATGCTTTTGTTCAACTTGCTCTCAAGGATCTGGTAAACAATGACAGTTCAAGAATATCGCGAGTTACAGATATTTGACATTACAAATAAAGTAGAAAGCGAGAGGGTCAATAAAATTGTTTGTTCAGTAAAAAAAACGATCGTTTGCAAAAGTTTGTTGGAAATAATTGTTCGTTCTGTTAAGCTATAGTGTTTTCAGAAGTTCGTTTGAAAATATCGTTTAATCAGTCAGTAATAACCATCGTTTTTTGACTAATTCGTTCGAAAAAAACGTTTGATCAGTAAAAACGATCGTTTCTTCAAAACGATCCTATTAGTTGTTAAATCGTTGTTAATTTTCTGAACAACTGAATTTTGTTCGTTTTGAAAAATTTCGTTTGTTCACATAAACGATGTCCAACTCTAGTCATCAATAAGATAATGCTTTCCGGTCAAATATTGTTAACATGATTATCCAACATAATAGAATGGTGAATTGTTTATTTTTTAAATGCTAATTTTTTTTATAAAAATCCGATGATCAGGTGATACATTGAGTTATAACGGTGAGGTGGTAACCCTGATGACGGCATCGAAGACGACCCTGACCGTGAGTATGTCTACGAGGATTCTGGAGGACCCAACCAGGATCCTCGTCTTCCTAGAGGTTCTTCATAAAACTGTCGGACATATTGATATAGACTCACAAGGTAATTATTCTTGATTAAAGGGACTGTATAATATAGATGTAATTTTAAGTGACCTTCCCTTTATAAAATCCCATGTCTAATTTACAATGGTACCTTTAAAATAAAGAATGAACAGGATACAGGATGTTTAAACACGGCCATCTCTTCCACATAATTTATCAGATAAAGGTTTCAGTGGTACCATTCTGTATTGGGTATGTCCCTTTTTAAATGGAGGGTCACTTAAAATAAATGATATTCTCTTTATGGTCTAATCTTGGTTTCTTCCTGGCAGAAAAGCTGCAGGACGTAACCGGAGGTCCAAGGAACATCTTTCTTCCATGTTTTAAAAAATGGGAAATTTAAGTTTTACAAACAACTTTACAGCTAGCAATGGATCTGTTTACAGCAAAATAAATACATAGTTTCCGACAAAACAAGACAGAAGCAAGACGATTTGAAGGTCGTCTATGATCTTTGAAATAGTTTGCAATAATAAATAGCATTAAAAAGGCAGAAAACATTTTTGAAATGCTAGGAGAGATGTGTTGGTTTTGTGTCAAGAATCATAAATGTTAAAGTAGGTTGACGACCTAATATCACAAAAAATTCAATCTTCAAAGACGACTTTTAAGTCGTCTTGCTACTTTCATGTTTCGTGGGACACTCTGTATCCGTTTTGGGTGAGCTGAGCTGAAAACTTATTGGATACCATACCTTCAATACCGATCGCTTAATCTGAACGTTCAATGTGGACACTTTAAATTTCCTTGTTAATCCGCTCTCTTTCTTCTTTTACCTATGTAATTTTCGAATTTTAACTTTTGCAACTTCCATAATTGATTTGTTGTTGATGATAAAATTATGAATATATTTAAGGACTGATCACGAATATGGACGAGGAAGCAGAAAATATATTTCAGCAGAAGATTACAACATGTTTGGGAGAACAAATACAAACTCTTATTCCTGTTCTCAATCTCCCAGGTCAAGTATTAAAACAATTTTTCAATACAGTGGCCACCATTATAATGCGGAACAAAACACTTCAGTGGTTCGCTAGGACTGGGGAATGCAACTCAACAGAGGATTTCTAAATAATGTGGATTTCAACGATTTATAGTCGATCATGACAAATGGAAAGGGTGCAGTAGTGTGCCACTGTTCTTGATATGGTATTTGTTTAGTTAAGGTGTTAAATAATCCTTAATCAATCAAACTAATCAATAATTAGCGGGAAGGTCCAGAAAAACGTTGACGGAGCTTTTGTTAAAATTGTGACATGCAAACCTCGTAAAAAAACAAACATTTTTCCAATATTTATACGTAAAAATAATTATGATTTTTAGGTCTAGCCCCTGGTAGTGTTATCAAGGAAGCTTGTACAGGGAAGACCGAAGACGATCTTTATTTCCCAATATCTGTAATTATATCCCGGGATGAGCTGGGATCAGCTGTTGAATACTCAGCGGAAATTGTTCCATCTTGTTCTATCACAGTTTGGGTCTATTCAACCTTGTCAGGACTTATTCTTCTCGATGGAAAAGGGATTATTCAGGTCAGATTTTCTCATATTCGCCATTTTGATTTCTACATTTTTAGTACAAGGTTCACCATTTTGATTTTATAGATCCGCCATTTGTAGTTTAAGGTTCACAATTTTTAATTCAGCCATTTTAATTTTAGGTCCACCATTTTGATTTATGTTTAATTTAAGGTCCACCATTTTGATTTATGTTTAATTTAAGGTCCACCATTTTTGATTTATGTTGAATTTAAGGTCCACCATTTTGATTTATGTTGAATTTTAGGTCCACCGTTTTGATTTATGTTGAATTTAAGGGCCACCGTTTTGATTTATGTTGAATTTAAGGTCCACCATTTTGATTTATGTTGAATTTTAGGGCCCCCAATTTAGATTAAATGTCCATTATTTGAAATATTTGACATTTTATCAATTTTGATTTTGAATTTTCTTTCAGGATTGTGACCAAGGGTTGAGTGGTTTAGTACTAGGATATAGACCTGGGGAGTTGCATGGGAATAAGATAGAGTCTGTACTTCCAGGATTCTATGATGAGTTTGATGTTCCGAGTTGCGACAGGTAGGACTAGGAGTAGACCAGGTAGGAGTAGATCATGTAGGAATAGATCAGGAAGGAATAGATCAGGTAGAAGCAGATCAGGTAGGAATAGATCAGGAAGGAATAGATCAGGAAGGAATAGATCAGGAAGGAATAGATGAGGTAGGAGTAGATGAGGTAGGAGTAGATTAGGTAGGAGTAGATGAGGTAGGAGTAGATGAGGTAGGAGTAGATCAGGTAGGAATAGATCAGGAAGGAATAGATCAGATAGGAGTAGATCAGGTAGGAGTAGATCAGTTAGGAGTAGATCAGGTAGGAGTAGATCAGGTAGGAGTAGATCAGGTAGGAGTAGATCAGGTAGGAGTAGATCAGGTTGGAGTAGATCAGGTAGGAGTAGACCATGAAAAGGTAGGACAGGTAGGAGCAGATCAGGTAGGATTATATAATGTAGGAGTAGATCAGGTAGAAGTACATCAGTTAAGAGTAGATCAGGTAGAAGTACATCAGTTAAGAGTAGATCAGGTAGGAGTAGATCGGGTAGAAGTAGATCGGGTAGAAGTAGAACGGGTAGAAGTAGATCGGGTAGAAGTAGATCAGGTAGAAGTAGATCGGGTAGAAGTAGATTGGGTAGAAGTAGATCGGGTAGAAGTAGATCAGGATTAAGTTGGACAGGTAGGAGTAGATCAGGTAGAAGTAGATCAGTTAGGAGTAGATCAGGTATAAGTAGATCAGGTAGAAATAGATCAGTTAGGAGTAGATCAGGTAGAAGTAGATCAGGATTAAGTTGGACAGGCTGGAGTAGGTAGGGTTGTTCATCGTTTTTCTTAACCATCTTTGCAACTTGAGGCCGGATTGTTTGTTTGGAGTTTCCTTAATCTTGATCTTGATATACAATGTGGGCACTTACAAAGTTGAGGACAAATGCATAAAAATCATCTCTGAAGGATATCACCACCATGGGAAATCGAAGAGAATTTAGAATAAGGACAGGGAGAAGTAGAACAGCTTAAAATAGAACAGTTAGAAGTAGGACAGGTAGGGGTAGGACAGGTAAAATTAGGACAGGTAGAATTAGGACAGGTAAATTTAGGACAGGCAGGGGTAGAACAGGTAGGGGTAGAACAGGTATGGGTAGAACAGGTATGGGTAGAACAGGTACGGGTATGACAGGTAGAATTAGGACAGGTAGGGGTAAAACAGGTAAGAGAAGGACGGGTAGGAGAAGGACGGGTGGGACTAGGACGGGTAGGACTAAGATTAGGACAGTACGCTCTTAAATTTAAAAATATGAAATGTAAAATATTCTTTTAGTAATAAAGTGAATTCTAGGACATAAAGGACATATTCAAATTTGATTAGGACATATAGGACATATTCTAACTTAGGTAGGACATTCAGGACATATTCTAATATAAATAGAACATACAGGACATATTCTAATATGAGTAGGACATATAGGACATATTCTAATATGAGTAGGACATGTCTGAACATATTCTAATATGAGTAGGACATGTCTGAACATATTCTAATATGAGTAGGACATGTCTAAACATATTTTGTTATGAAAGTAGAAAATATGAAACAAAGAAACTGAACACTCAACTCACACTCTTAATTTTCCTAACCATCTTTGCAACCTGAGGCCGGATGTTTTGTGTGGAGTTTCCTTAATCATGATCTCGATATCCAATGTGGACAGGGTATCACCACCATAAGGAATTAGATTAGTCCTTATATCTGTATAATATATAGATCAAAGCTTTATCCCATATTCAGAGTTCAAAAGTTCAGACTTCTGTTGTAGACTTGGGATTATTCAAATTATGAATTCTGGAAGATGAAAAGTTTGACATAATTTAGTTTTACAATATCTGGTTTCAAATAATTAGGGATTAGACAATATAGTTTGAGTCGCATATACCGTTCTTTCAACATATTGTATGAATATATTAACCCCTGCTCTGTTAAGAACTGAGGAGGATCTAGGTTGTGAGGAACTATCCCTGTGCACTGAACTATCTGAAGATCAAGCTCTCTTAGAGGATCAAGGGGAGGAGGAACATGATCTTGGTGAGTTACATCTTGTTTCAAGGGGTGGGATATGTCCCGGTCCGCCGTGTTGTTCTCCGCCAGTTCAGGGCCCCTCCATGTTTGTTGTTTGTTGAAATTTATTGGTTATATTTATTATTTACCAGTAATGAAAAATAAAGATTATATAAAACGTTGAAATTGCTAAAACTGGGTTTCCCATAACAAAGGGTTTTTTAAAAGTTATATCTTGGGTCCAAGACTTTTAAATGCAAAAATTAGCACTGCAGCCTCAACCTACTTTTTATTTCGGACACCCTGTATGTTAAACGTTAAAATTATTGACCCCTGAAAGCAGTGAATGAGTGTTTATTAAGCAAAATTAAATTAGGTTGCATTCCTATCGTCTAGTCAAAACATTAATCAACATGGAACACCGAAAAAAAATTAGGAAAATTTTTAGAATTTTTTTTAGATAGATCAATTAAAATTTAAAAATTTAACTTTTTGGATTTTTTATTATGTAAAAACGGAATTTTTTCAGGGTGTGCCCCCTTGGAAGAAATTAGTATTAGTGTTGAGAACTGTTTGCTGAATTCACCAAATCCAGTCAGGTGATTTTATTATATACAGTTATAATATCAGCTCATTCAGAACAGTTAACAGAATAGATTATAAAAATAAGATCATTTTTTAAAACTAAAATATTTTTAGATGTCATTTTTGAATACTACAATAAGATGAAGTGATCATCTGTTTGGGGTTTTGATCTCTTAAGTTTGTCTGTAAATGACAGTTGTTCTCAAAAACGTCGTTTAAAGCGTGGCGTAAGACATTTTACGACATTATCCTTTTAAAACTAATTGTTAAAGGGAGTGTTCGCGAAAAATAAAAGGGGTATAGATTACGGCCAAAAATGAGCGCTTTTGATCGCTACTAATCTTACTTTATCTGTTGCGTCTATAAGAAGCAAATTCTGAAGAACGTAACGTTCATACAAATTCAGAAAGTTGAAACATTCGACTCAGATCGTAAAATAATCAACTCAATTCCAAACAAATCCTTCAGATATTACAAACAATAGTAATTGATTATTTTGCGACGCTTTCGTCTATAGTTAATATTTCATAAGATTTATAGAAATGTTAAGTTTTCTGACAAATGTTATCTTTGTTAGATTTCCCCTGTTTGTAGTTTTTTTCCAGGAAATCTTAAAACTTTTGTTTCTTTAAAATGGCCATTAAGTAATTGGATACTTGTGAATAGATTTTTTTCTTGATGATATTTATAATCCCTGGATATGTAAAGTAATAGATTTTCTCTAGTTGTACTTTTCATCCATGATTTATTTAATCATTTTAGATTTATGTTTTTAAAAAAATCGGATTAGCCATTAATTGAAATTTATCTAAAATTTTCTGTTGATGATATTTATAATCTGCACGAAGGTTGGAACACTAATAATAATAAAGTACTTCGGAATTTTAAATTTATATCGAGGACTGTAAATTTAATTTTAAATGGATAAATAGAAGAAGATTAAATAAAACATAAAAAAGAAGAACATAATAAAATAATAGTCATAGGCTCTGAAATATCAATAGTAAACAAAGCAGAAAGAATACGAGCAGGGATTAGTGATTCCCAGAATACAGGGCGAATACTAAATAAATTTTAAAGTTTAATAAATGTATAGTAATGCAATTATAGAAATTGTTTAGAATTACGTTTATACTTTTAATAGAATTCAGGACATAAAATGTTTTTACATTTTTGGGGGTTCATAAAGATAGTTATTAGAAAACATTTCAAGTGCCAGTTTTTAGATACAACTGTTTTTAGTTCAATGGAACTTGTTTGTGATCTTAATCGAGTATACTATAAATCTTATTTGATAAATAGTTGTTGAACAGTTCACTTATATTTTAATCGATCTCTTATTGGCTAAGAGCCAACTTTTATGACTTTGCTTGTTCACTTTGTCCAGGGAGAAGTACTTAAGGGGTAAATCTTTAACTTTCTGAAATGATTAACAATACAAAAGTTCTGACATCTGAGCTGGGAACTTATAAATTGGATACCCCCAATTCCGCTCGCTTAATCTGAATATCCAATTTTATACTTTTAATATCCTTCTTAATCCGCTCTTTTCCTTTCTTCTGGATATCCCACCCAAATCTGACCAATGAGAGTTCTCTCATTAAATGGCACGTAAAATTTCATTTTCCCAGCTTCTGATTGGGTATTCAGGATTCTGCATGCACTGCACTAAACTGGTTGAATTTTACATACTATACAGGATACAAACTCAAGATTAAATTAATCTTGAGATTAATAAAAACTAAAAAGGGTAGCTCAAGTATTGATATAAATATCCGCAATTCTAAAATTTATTTTTCCTTTTGTAGTTAGGAGACGAATTATCAAGAACAGCACTAAAAAAGAAACTTTACACATCTTAAAAACAGAATTATTTTTTATATTCACAGATTTCATGTAACAAATGCCTTACTCAAATAGTTCTTTAAGTCAGTACCAATCCAGGTATGACCTTCTTTATTCCAAAGTATGTATTAATCAAAATACAAGCCTCTTTGTATTTGTCAGTATCTGTCAATCTAGATACATCACTATTCTAAAGTTGGTATCAATCCTTATACAACTCTTTATGCTCAAGTAAGTATCAATCCAGATACAACACTCTCTTTATTCGTCAGTATCTAGCAACCGAGATACAACTTGCTCTCATGTATCCTCTACAGTAGAGGAGGGAAGGATATCTTCTGTGATCACAATTTTTTCCATATTATTTTCTTTCTCTGGTTTTCAGTCAATCTCTCTTTAATGTCAATGTAAGTAAAGCAAGTGCTGAGAATATTTCCCCCCCTAGTTTTTAGTTTCTACACTATGCCTTTGAACAGAAGATTTAGTGGGAAAACGAACCAGCTTAATGCACATCACTATCTCCATATTAGAAGTAGTAGAGAGGGAGGCTGATATCATAATTCAAGTTCAGTTAATCTTCCTGACAGAATCCATCTCAAAAACTAACGAGGGTTAACCCAGACCGAAATATATTTTCAAGAAATGTGGAACTAACATCTATTTTTTACTCTACAGAGGTTTGGTCCATCACCAATCACCATCACCAAATTTTAAAAATTCAAAGGGATATTTTTCTATGTTTTGTTTGAATCATTAGGCATAACACCCGCGTGCCTTAGCACCTTAAAACCTCAATTAAACTTACAAAAACAAATTTTTTAACAGAATTTTTACAGCTCAAAAAAAATATCAATTTTGGAAATTTGAAATTGTATTAAAGTGAAAACAAAATTCTGTAATTTTAGTTTTCTTCACACATAAATCACGTAAATCACGATTTAAAGGATCTGGTGATTATATTGTTATCAACTTAGTTCCAGATTGGAACTTTAAACACCCCCCCCCCCCCCAACCAATTTTTTAAAAGGGACAGTAAGCATAATTTCAAGTGACCCTCTATGCAAATATGCCCCTTTTCAAATTGAGTTACTTTAAATTATGAAATAGTTGTCTTGAGTAAGTAAATCTATAGATGAAGGGTTTCCTCAAAATTATGTCTTTTTTAATCAATTTATTCATTTGAGAAGAAAGGTATTATTTTCAAAATTTTGATGAGAGAAAAAACTAATATAATGTATGCATTAGTTTGTCCAGGAAACCTTAATTTTTTTATTTTCATTCTATCTCAAATATTAACATTCATTTGAACAAAACTAATTTATATAAAATAAAATATTTACATGAAACCTTTCAATTCACTTAATGAATGTAAGTGGTGTCCATTAAACTGATTAGTCTCAACCAAAGAAGGAATTTTTCATAATATTCCTCAAATTTAAAAAATATTCAAAAGATCATTACAAATGCTAATAATAACTAAAAACTAAAAACAATAATATCCAAGTTGTATGCGCAGAATTTAAGAACCGAAAAATAATGCCCGTTGATTTCTTATTTAAAATGTTAACCAGAGCATCAAAACTCACTTCATTGAAAATATATACTCCTGTTTTATCCGAGAATAAGACATAAGACATATATACAGGTATGATCAGGTTTACAAAATATTGGGTTTATTACAATATTTATTACATTCATAATTTTAAGAAAATCTTCACAATGTAAAATTATTAAGTGAAACCTAACCATTATTATTGTATAGGCTAATGCATGTATAATTTGTCAAACTTGACCGTTTAGGACCAGTTTTGAGTATCCTGGAAGCCAGGAAATTGACCGGTCACCGGTTTTTAAGAGACCGGCTCTGAAAACCCCGGTCAAACTTACTATGGATATGTTCACGTCCACTCCAGCGCACGGCCAGGTAAAAGCAGTGTGTAGGATTTGATTTAATCTGGTCTGATCTGAATTGATTTAGCTTGACCAGGTATGATTGGGTTTGCTTTGATTTGATCTGATTTGATCTGATTTTGTCCAATTTTATCTTATTTGATCTGATTGGATTTGATCGGAATTGATCTGGTCTAATCTGATAATAATATGCACAGGGTCTTTAAAAAAACGTCTTTTTTAGATCTAACTGACGAGGTAAAAAAGCATAACATGATGATAAAAAATGCATCTTTAGATGTGGATATTTGGTTTTATGAAGTTGTTTTGTGGCGAAAATGCAAAAGCGTCAGTTTTATACTTCATTCTTAAAACCCTCAAAACCCGGAATTTTTCAGTGTGTTTTCACAAGCATCAGGCATTGTAAAAACATTTTTATACCAATCAAGGCTGTACAACACTTTTACACTACCTTTAGAATTACTGTGAGATTTGTGTTTGCCAAAACAGTAGCCAAGTACTCAAAATACCATTTAATACTGAATTTACCCTCAAGTTCTGAAGCTGTGTCTTAAAAGTTGGGTTTTTCGTTTTCCTCTTGTGTGAGGAGAAAATGTCTCCCCTCTAAAGAAAATTTCTTTATGTCAAGGCATTAGGAGATCATCTTTAAGGTTTACAGAGCCGACGATTTATAACATTCAAGAAAATACGACTCAGGTCTAAGCTGTCGTTCGGCCGTTTACGACTCAGGCTTTTAGATTTAAAATGCATCTAATTTTTCACAGAGTTGAGTTAATAAAATTGGTTTATTACTGTATTTGACGGATTTTCATGGTTGGAAATGGCGCGCTCCGGGGTTTGATGAGAACAAGACTCGACGAGCCTTATTCTCCACTAAAACCAACCAAGGTCGGTTTTATTTTCATTGGGCCTTACTCCGTAAGTCGAGTCTAAGAGCTCGCAGCTGTCAATCACGTGACACAAACTGTTGTCAGAGTTGGGTTTAAGAATGGGTCTTAAAGCTGGGTTTAATGAATTACGACTCAAGCCAAAGCTTTTAAATCGCGGGCTCTGGAAACTTGTTGGGAGCTAAGACCCACTAACTTGAAAGAAGATAAGTAATGATTACTGGTTATAAATATGGCATTAATTTGCTTAAGTTTGTTTTGTGAAGAGTCCGAATAAGCCCAAAGTAAACATGAAAGAAGACTATTGATATGTCTTCACAACTGTTGAACAAGGCCCGCCAGTCTCGGGTTGCAATACTGTTTGGATTTTCAAAGTTCTCGGATCTGCACCCAAATTTAATACAAGTTAGCAGCTGTCCCAACTTGTAGGTCTCAGACATAAAAAATAAATAAAATTTAGAGTAATTTAAATAGACTTTTTTTAAAACCCTGTGTAATAATTTTCTTGATTAATAAAACATTATTTGATCTTATTTTCTACATTCATAGTTTATTTTTATATAAATGAACTTTTCTTGAAAGTATAATTATTAAATTTCATCCGGATAAATATAAGTATGCTATTTGTTTTGTTAAACCTACTCAACATTTTTTAATTGATTTTCACAAAATGCAACTAAGCTAAATGCAACATAGCTTAGAACTTCAGCAAAAAGGAATTGAACCAGTTCGTTTGTGCGCCGGTTCAGGCTGAATTAATAAATTTGAACTGTCTACCACCGGTTCAAATTTATATCACCAATTCAATTCCCTAAACTGTGAATCGGTGGTTCAAATTTTAGCTGCAGCATGTAGGTCAACGACGCGGTCAAATTCATTAAATTTGGTCTACAAAAAAAATTAAGTTGGTGAGGTAAAATTAATGGCAGCGGCGCGAGTTTGGACACTTTAAGAACCACCCGGTCAACACACTTGATGCATATCTTTCAAACTTATGAACACTGTGTTTGGGAGTTACCCTGTACTAATGTATTTTTGAACACAAGGATACCCCACCCATCTCACGGGGTTCTCTCAGTTCAACCAGAAAACCAAGATTACGCACAGAGAGAAGCTTGGAGCGCTCAAGGAGGAAACTCAAGGTATCCGGATTGTTTCAACATTTGTTAATCAAAAAGACTTATTAAAAGCAAATAAGAAAAAATTGACATTTGATCAAAATCATGTTTCTTAATCTGATTTTGCTAAAGAGTAAATAATGTGTGCCAGTAGCAAGAAAATTATGCAGTCAAGACAATGTCTTATTCATGTTGATTTAACTATTAAAATTATACATTGAGTCAAACATTTTTCTTCCTATTCCACAGTTTTATGGGTCTCATTGTACTAACAAAAAATTATTGTCAGATGTACTTGATCTCAAATCATATTTTAAACTTTTAACTTGAAACGATTCAAAAATTTTCAGATTGAAATTTTAAGCATTTATAGGATATTCTATGTAATTTCAATTAAATCTTCATTTAAAGAGTAATATGCTCGATACACTGCGAATATAAAAGAACATAATCAATTTTTAGAAGATATTATTTTTGGCCAGACAACGGTTTTAAGAGAGGATCGTTGTGAAACGTGATTGGTTGCATGAAATAGCAACAACAGTTTCTTTATATTTTAGGATAGAAATCTGTTTGCTTCTGAGGAGAAAAGTTTTGATGACTTATCCTGTTCTCTACCCACAGGTTTTACATAAAGAGAATAGAATATATATTAGAGTGGAATTTACTAGAAAAAAGTGTAAAACGGCCATTTTGTTGTACTGTTTCCATACTGCAGGTGTACTTTACATATTTGCGCTATATAACCGTTTGGGCCCTGGAACATCATTTTATAGAAAATCTAAAATTAATATTAAAAGAAAACCAAATTATTCACTTTACAAACGATGATTTTCCGTTATATCTATAAATCAAATGATGTTTTTTTATTCACCGAATTCATTATAAAGTTTATTTAACAGCTTTAAACAATTCAAAATTGAAATGGATAGTCTAGGGAACATACTGTATTAATGTACTTTACCGCATATAATTTGTGAACATTTACATTATTTGTACACTTTGAACTCCCTTTCAGGCTGGAAGGGACTGAAAAAAATCATACCTGGGGATTTTCTAAATTCCACTCTAATATATACTCTATTCTCTTTGGTTTTACAGTACAAGTTTGTTTTTGTACAAGGCTAGGGTTACCCACAAGGAATCGTAAATACATTTTGAAGGGAGGGATGTAGGGATGTATGATTCATGAAAATCTGGAGTTGAATAATGGACAACAACCGGCAAGTTTCTTCCCCCTTTTTGAATAATTCGTTTTACCCTAAAAAATCATTTACTTTCCCCAAGTCCGCCCAAACATGCTAAATATATTAGGAAAATATTACTTTTGAAGAGAGGGTGGGGGAATGGTTTTTATAATTTACAATTTTTACCTGCTATGTACCAAGATCATATTTGATCTCCTGCCTTAGTTTTATTTATCGAGTATTTAATGATCTGTCAAAGTAAGGAGCAGATTTATTGCTGCTGGGAACCATGAATAAACGATATATTATATATTGAATAATAAATTCTACATCGAAGTCTTCTTCGGCAAGTCTTCTATTATATCTAATAAATTGTGTAATATTGTGTCTGAAGTCGCATTCTTTGTGGAAAACGCTGCATGTTTACTGTTTAGTGTTTATAGTACAGAACATTTCCACTTTCTATTTAAAGAAATTAATAGATTTGGATACTAAAGCTGAGACAAGAATGAAAGTGGTTTCTTGGAAAAGCGCTAATCGGGCTGATGTTGTTTTAGACTAAAATTCTCTGAGAAAATGCAATATACTATTTATAAAGCACCATGAAAATGTTGAACAAAATATTTGTTAATATGCTAATTGAAAGAAAAATATGTTTTTAGAAAACTTGTTTGATTCCTAGTAAGTTATCAATAAGGACAATAACCATTGTTGACATTTAAAAAATAAAACTAAAAGTAAAGTTTTTTCAATAACTGATGGTTAAATGTTTAAGTATAGTTAATTTTAGAAAATCTGAAAACAGGTGTTTTGGAAAACTGTTTTGAAATGTTAATTTTCTGTTATAGCTCAAAATAACTAAAAAATAGCAAGTTTTAGCTCAATATGACTGAAAAATAGCAAGTTTTAGCTGAATATGACTGAAAAATAGCAAGTTTTAGCTCAATATGACTGAAAAATAGCAAGTTTTAGCTGAATATGACTGAAAAATAGCAAGTTTTAGCTCAATATGACTGAAAAATAGCAAGTTTTAGCTGAATATGACTGAAAAATAGAAAGTTTTAGCTCAATATGACTGAAAAATAGCAAGTTTTAGCTCAATATGACTGAAAAATAGAAAGTTTTAGCTCAATATGACTGAAAAATAGTAAGTTTTAGCTAAATATGACTGAAAAATAGCAAGTTTTAGCTAAATATGACTGAAAAATAGAAAGTTTTAGCTGAATATGACTGAAAAATAGCAAGTTTTAGCTGAATATGACTGAAAAATAGCACGTTTTAGCTGAATATGACTGAAAAATAGCAAGTTTTAGCTCAATATGACTGAAAAATAGCAAGTTTTTAGGTTGTTTTTATGGGCTGGCTAAACATAAAAATGGCACAGAAATATCCACACTGTACCAAGTCAAGAGAATTGATCTCAAGTAAGTAAAAGCTTCTAATTAATTTTTTTTAAAATCAATTTTGACATGTTAAAATTTTATGCGAAGCAAAATAAAAAGATAAAAGACTCAGTAACCCCTTTCTAATCAGTATGTCAGTATACGTAAATCTCAATTTCCTCGGAAGGAAGATTTATTGGCTAATATAATCTGCTTGTACAACCACTAAGTGTAAGTGTTTTTACATATTAGTTTAAGTGTTTGACGTTGTCCGTGAAATTAAGAAAAATTCAAATTTTTTAGCCTATGTTACCCCCCAGAGTAGCAATGGGTTACTTAAAAGATCAGCCGATTTGGAACAGTTATAGCTAACATAAATATATTTATTAAAGGGAGTGAGCGGCTATGTAAGGTAGTTGAACTGAGTATGCAGTGTTGTGGAAAACTTCTTTCGGATTCATTTGAGACATATTACACTTTTTAAAGATCTGTAAATCCTGAGCTTGAGCGCAAATTCGACGTTCAAAACTCCTATGTTTTCAGAATTAGTTTTTTTAATTATTAAATAACGACGACATTATTCTGGTTCCTTATTATTCAAAGATGTTCCGCGGTTTTTCTGGAATTATTATTGAAAAAACGACATTTGAAGAATTTGAAGAAATCTACGAATAAATTCAAAGAAGAAAAGAAATTCAATATAATAATGAAAACGAAATAATCGATTTTAGCATTGATTTATTGACAAATTTCTGTTGAGAAATATGTTCCTAACCATCTAATTAGATTACTGTATAATTTTTACTTTATTTTTCGTCGTTATTTAATAATTTAAAAAACCCGATTCTGAAAACGTATCCACCCCCAAAGTAGGAGTTTTGAACGCCGAATTTGCGCTCAAACTCAGGATTTACAGATCTTACAGTTTTATATTTCTAAAATGAATCCGAAAGCAGTTTTCCACAAATCTGAATACTCAGTTCAACTACCTTACATAGCCGGTCACTCCCTTTAAATAGATGTAACCTATAGCCGGTCTACCTGTAGCAATTCAGATAAAAATGTTACGAATATGAGCCGAAAAGTTTGAAAACTTATTGTTTATATTTAAAGGGGTGGAGAGACCGTGTACTGTCTGTGGTTATCTCGCGACGAGGATGATACAGCTGGCAAGACACAGAACAATCTTACTTTGGAGACGACAGGTCCAAATCAAAGTTTTATAATAATAAGAATTAACATAAATTGTATTTTTTTGTTAATTGTTATACAAAACTCAAATACTTATTTTTTTACTAATTCTTAAAAACAATAATATTATTTATTCAGAATTCTATTATTTTTAATTGTATTCGTTTTGAAAACTAATGACTACATAAAAGATGAGAACAAGCATTGATCTCTATATCAACAAGATAAGATTTTCATTTTAAGAGAAATAAACACCAATGTGATGTAAATTATGTTAGCATACTATTATTTTCATATTTGTTGAATCTCAAGGATAATTTTATAAAGTAGGCGTTACTCTGATCCAATTCTTATGTTGACTTCTTGTTTAAATATCTTTAACTTATAATTATGTTTGATCTGCAGTACATTGCCGGTCACTCCCTTTAAAAAAACGTCTTCAAAAAAAGACGTTTTTTTCTCGCAAGTCAAACAGGGTTTTTTTCCACCAAGTTTGGTTAACGAACTAAAGGAAGCGCAATTGTTTTTCGTCAAAATATGACTTAATGGGTGATGGGTATCAAAAGATTCGATTAGAGTCAAAAAAAATTGTAATCGTAAAATTTGTTGATAAATTAACGAGTTTAAGGCGGAAAATCCAAAAATAAACCATGTTTGGGTCTAAACTCAAAAAATATGAAAATATTGGAAATATAGACGTTTTTATAACTATTTTTACCTTTGAAGTCAAAATTGATTTAAAAGAAAAATAATTTCACGAAGTTGTTCAGATTTTTATGCACATTTCTGATGTCCATTTTATGTTCCAAATCTTTCAAAATTTGTATGTATCCACTGTATCGTCATATGATTATGCTTTCTTAACGATTAAAAAAAATTATTTATTAATGAAATATAACAAAAACATACAAAATTAAGTGTTTCAGGAGAAAAAATCTAAAAACCTCTAAAAGTAGAGGATTTTTTATTTCTGTAAGAATACAAGCGTCATAATTTTATTTATAAATATTTTTTCGAATTATGAATGAAAAAAACTTTCCTGCCTTCCATGAAGAAATTGTAGTAAAGCATTCTTTAAAACGGAGTTAACATTTTTTTCAAACTTGAAGGAAAACTCTGTAACAATTCAATGCATTGTCAGCTATACAGTAGACACAACTTACTTGATAGTTGTTTAAGATGGTAATATTTAAGTGAGAGCTAATTTTTGTAACGACAGTTGTAAATTAGACTCACTAGGGTTATTATTCGTATTTTAAGTATGATATATCTTATTTAAAATGTCTTTGTCTCAATATTTGTCTATCTCTTACAATCTTGTAAAAGGCTCTTAAAGTTTTAAAGGAGCTGTTGATGTAATTTCATGTATTCCTCATTTAGAGTGGACTGTCCGCTTCTTTATTGAAAAGTGTCAATTTTTTTCTTTATCTTAACTTAATCCGCTAGTCGCTTAACAGAGAACTTGGAGTTGAAAATTATGGTAATTTTACATCGTCTATACGCAACATCCCCCATACCGAACTACTGACCTACTAACTTCCCGACCTACTGCAATATCGGACCTACACCATCTGTTTATTTTTGTATTATTTGAAGGTTAGGTTAGGTTAGGACAATTTTAGGGCCGAGCGCTGCGGCTATGGCATGCTCGGGGGCTCAGCGCCGCGGCTAGCGGGCCGGATGCTGCGACCACAAGTCCATATAGAAGCTGTTAAACCACGTACTAGTAGCTCGGATGTGTAGTGTAGGTCAGAAGTGGAGTATCGCGGATTTGCGTTGGTCGAAAAATACACTATCGAAAATTATCAAATATAAAATAGAAGGCAAAGATTTTAAAGGTTACTTTTAAATTATGTTTACAGTCCCTTTAAGTTGACAGTAAACCGATTTATTTTATTTATATTTGATATTTATTCAAGAGATCCGTCTGGGTTAAGTCCCCCTCCTACGAGACAAAGCAGACTGCTTTTTACCCATGGATACATTTTTGTAGCGAGGAGCGTCGACCCTATTTCAGAGAATGAGGGTTTGTCTGCTAATAAAAATGTTAAGTATGTATATTTAGGAGTTAACGATTGTGCGCTGCGACTAGGAGCTGATGAGAATGCCGCGAGCGATTGTGAACTATCAGAAGAAAGTTTGCTTGAGGGAGACTACAATACCAAATATACAACACTAGGCAGAGAATTTTGATTCAATTTGTTGTATTACAGGGAAGGGAGGGGGTTAGGCACCCTAAGGCTTGCTAAAGTAAACTAGGAGCTTCGTGGCGTAGAGAGTAGCGTTATTAGTCATGGAACTGAGAGCGGGAGTCCTAAGATTGCAACTAAAATTGCAATCTAGCATTATATATACCTTGCTTGCTCCAATGTCTCTGCAGCCTAGAAGTGCTCGTCATTTTGTAGAGGAAACACAAATTAGACAAATCTCATTCAAGTGTCTTTTAAAGATCGGGAAAAAGATTTAAGAGAGTTACTTGAAATAAAAAATTTAAATAAAAAAGGTTCCTTTACCGTTTACATATATGAAAAAAGAATTCTCTTTTATCAGTGCAATTGGGCAAAGGAGCATATGGAACAGTCTGGTCAGCTTACAGGTAAATTCTCCAATTTACAATTCTACAGTTCTACAGTTCTACAGTTGGACTAAATCAGATGTTCTGCATTTACTGAAAATCTCCCAACTCTTCAGTAAAAGAAAAGTATTTTAGAATTTTTTAAATTTTTTTAAATCTAAATTTTGTCTGATAATGAGATCTTCGTTTAGCTGCCAAGATTAAAAAATTTTCATAAAATTTTCTCGTTTTTTTCTTTTTTCTTACATTGATTTTTTTATATTTACTTTTTCATTCTATTCTTTAGAAATAAGTTTCAGGGTGTCCCACGAAATTGACAGTTGGTGAATAGTTTTAAATGTCTTCTTCCATATATTGTATTGGATATTAAAGACTTTTTGCAGATTGTTTCGTTAAAAACATCTTTTCCTCAAACTTATTTTACTTTGAAATCAATTTTACTATAATATGATTGCCATATAATATTTTTTTATCATTCTCTTTAGTATTAAACTACTTAACTAATAATGGAAGAAGACATTTTGAACTATTCACAAACTTTCATATTTCGTGGGACACCCTGTAGTTAAATAAAAATACTAGCTGAAATTGTGTTTTGAAAATTACCGAATTTTTCGCTCGTTATTTTTTTTTCGTCGCCCTTCTGTTTTTAATTTTTAATGAATTTTGATTGTTTAGAACATAAATTAATAACAATACAGATTGAATAATAGATGTCGTCTTTTCAAGATTTAAGGGTTTTTCGTTCACAATAACCCTGAGGCAGAAGCCGCGTAGAACAGGATTTTTCTCTGTCTTTCTCTTGTCTGTAATTCAACGCAGCATGCATTTAAACTTTTGCCTCAGGGTTATTGTGTACGAAAAAAACCCTAAATCTTGAAAAGCCTAGTGTTCTATCTGTATTGTTTAGAAGAGTCGACCTTGAGTTGGTTGTGGTGAAATGTATTCTGAAGAAACGAGTCCTCTCTGAAAACTGGGTTATGGGGGACCAAGGAAAATATATTCCTTTTGAGGTTAACAGTGCTTAGAATCCTCCATTTAATTAATTTTAATGCGAATCCGGATCCGGATCCTGAATCCGCACTGGGAAAAAAGGGAAATGGATCCATGTCATGAATATTTCTTTACGATTTACAAATATTTTGAACTGAAGAAAAATTTTCAAATTATTTTTCTTCTGTTTTTTGTAGCAAAAACAAATTTGTTTGCATTTTTTAAAGTGATATTTTGCCCAGTGGAACTGGATCCGCAGATTCACATATTTTTACGGATCCGGATTTGGATCTAGGCAAGAATGTAAGGCAAGGAAAGTTTATTGCGGTCGTGTATACTCTGCGTACATATTGAAACCAGTTCTCTTTGGGCAGAATTTGTAAACAAGAATAGATGCATCAGTGTTCGTTTAGTATCCGAGGAGGTTAAAAGCATTAAATTTTGAAAATTTTGATAATTCACATAATAGTTTCCTATGACCAGAATATTTCATCGATTTTTTATGTGAAAGATGGATCCCATTTCAGGCTTCGACATCCGTCTTGTGTTTACATTACCGCCCAGAGACAGTACACTGCAGTACAAAAGATGTGTACACTTCTGAAATAACTTTCCTTGCCTTACATTCTTGGATTTAGGAAGCAAAAATTTCAAAAGTGTCTAGGAGTTAAACCAACATATTGCATATAAATACTTAAATTTCATACTAAGCAATTTTTCAAATCGTTTACGTTTTTAACAAACGTATGTTTTCCTATAGATACGTAAATGTATTGCCAAGCAATTTTCCTCCACTAGGTGTCTTTACTTTACCTTAAGAATTTTTTTTTACTATTTTTTAATAAAATTGAAATGAGAAAAATATTTTACCAATTAGCGCACTTTTTATTGCAAAAAAAACTATGCTTCTATAATGGACGAAAAGCTTAGACCTACTTTTGTTAGACATACACTGTTTGTATGTAATACATTTGTTGAATACATATTTTTAAGTATTGCAAACCTGGGAGTGCATATAAATAGGTAATTTTAGGTTTTTCTGTTAGAACTGGTAAAGTATACTTCTCTAAAAAAAATAGTAATTAATTTTTAAATAAATCTATGTAATACAACAAGACATTCGTATATATGTTCCCTCTGGCCTGCCAAACGGCTGGACCGAATGGACTCAATTTTTTTGTGGACACTCGATTTTTTCAATTTTTTCCCACGGGCACCGCCGGGCCCTTTCGCTAGTATATAATAAAACAAGACATTCTATAAATGTTACCTCTAGCCGGTCAAACGGCTGGACCGAATGGGCTGAATTTTTTTGAGGAGACCCATGGGTACCCTTTGGTAACATAGACTAAACAAAAAAAATTAAAAGTTTTTTTCAACATTTTTTTTATATACAGATTTTTTTCCACGGGCAACGCCGGGTACTCTAGCTAGGAAGGTATGATTCTACTTCTGAATTGTTCAGGCAAGTTTACTGATGGCACTCAATCATCCGAATATTGTCAGAGTTCTAGAGGTCTTTCAGAATACAGCAGTAGTTCAGGTAAAATCCGATAGGTGGCAGATCGGTCAAGTATTTGCAGATTAGGTCAATTCCGCTAGGTAGTAGTTAGGTCAGCCACATATTTTTATTTCAGGTAAAATCTGATAAATATTTTTAGTTTAGATAAAATATGTTAGGTGGCAGCCAAGTCAAGATTTGTAGTTCAGGTAAACTCTGCCAGGTGGGAAACCAGTCAATTATTTTAGTTCAGGTTGTAAAATCCGGAAGGCAAGTCAAGTATTTTTAATTCCGAAAGGTGGCAGGTCAGTCAGGAATTTCTCCATTCAGGTAAAATATAGTATTTTTAGTTCAGATAAAGTCCGAAAGGATTAAGTATGTGTAGCTAAACTCCTACAGACACAGGTTAATTGTGGATTGAGCTCAAGCATTGATCTCGATATACACAATACAAGAGTTCCTAATGAGAGTCATCTCATTGATTGTGTGCAAAATTTTCCGGTTTCTGATTGGCTGTTTGGTTTATGAAAACGAACTCTTATTGGTTTGAGGACGCTTTCCTGGATATCAAATAAAGATTAAATTAATCTGCAGACTACATAAAAGATGAGAACAAGCATTGATCTCTATATCAACAAGATAAGATTTTCATTTTAAGAGAAATAAACACCACTGTGATTTAAATTATGTTAGCGTACTATTATTTTCATATTTGTTGAATCTCAAGGATAATTTTATAAAGTAGGCGTTACTCTGATCCAATTTTTATGTTGACTTCTTGTTTAAATATCTTTAACTTATAATTATGTTTGATCTGCAGTTGGTGATGGCCAAGCATGGGGACATGGACCTGTTCGAGTTCATCGATAGGAACCCTGTTATGGACGAGGCACTTACCAGTCACATCTTCAACCAGATCGTTCAAGGAAACTATTTTTCCAGACTCATAATTTAAAACCTTTTACTATTGATTTTTTGCATAACTTAAAAAGGTGGGCTTTTATACCACTTGTTTTATTTCTCAGACAAACTGCTTGAATGCGCAACTTTACCTGTGCCAAACTAAATATTTTTTAGACCCACTTCCATTCATTGGATTTCATAATTTAATTTTATGACAAAATGAAACTGAGCGCATATTAATTTTTGTCATTCAAATAAATCCAAATTTTATTATTTGCCTCCCCCCTTTTATTTTTTTCAAGGTCTTGGGTAAAAATAGCTACTTTGCTTAGGAATTGATTATCTTCATTCAAAAGATATTTTGCATCGAGATATCAAGGACGAAAATGTGATCATTGATAATCGATTCAACGTTCAAATTATCGATTTTGGTTCTGCCACCTTCTTCCAACCAGGGGATGTGTTCACAACCTTCTATGGAACTGTAGAATATTGTGCACCTGAGGTTCTCAAAGGTACCGTTTAAACAAATTGGCGGATTTAAATAAGACAAAATTGTGGATTTCTTAAAAAGATTATTTTGTACTGAATTCACACGAAAATCGATTTTTTACAGTGTACCCATATAACTTTGGAGAAAGAAGACGACTGATGGACTCAAGTTATGGCGGCTACTAGTGTTTCCAATCGGAATTCCTTTGTGCGGAATTGTGTGGAATTGCGCGGAAATTAGAGGTCCCGGAAGTAAAATCCACTTGTGTTGGAAACCCTAATGGCTGCTGCAGTTTAAATTGCACCCTGCGGCCGACGGGTTTCCCGACGCTCTCGCACCCTCGTACGTGAGGCGATCCGACTGACAAGCACATTTTTGGAACAGCAGAGAGCCTGCCTATACGCATATTTTCACAAGATTTTTGCCCAGCTTTGTATAAGCATAAAATACACATAAATTACTGAATAGTCGTCTTCCTATTCCTTAGTTCAATGAGGGCTCATTGTATTTACTAATAGAATTGTCAAATACGAAAGGGAACAATGCGATTTTGAATACATTAATCATATAAATATTTTTTTAGGAAATGCCTATGATGGACCACAAGTTGAAATATGGGCTTTAGGTGAGAAATTTACGACAACATATTTTTATTTCTTTTTTTAGGGATGCTGAGAGATGGGACACAAGTTTAGTTGAACCAAAGTAAAAGATCTAAGTTTTTGCCACAAACTCAAATTTTCTTTGCAAGCCAATGCAGAAGACCTATGATATGTATTCTGGTAGATAAAATAGTTTATGTTTGAAATATCTAAGGTTTAAACCATCAGGTCACAAAGATAAAGGGATTAGAAAAGTTTAGGTTGTTTCAAACACCCAGTTCATTTTAGAAGCATGTCATTTGAAAGAGAATATGTTGTTTGTTCTAAAATTTTTATATTTTAAAGTTCTGGGTCTGAGTATGTTTAACTTTTCAAATTTTGTCTATTGGCTGGTAAACAAGGGACTGACTAATGTCGTTCTCTACCTAAAAGATGCATGGCTTTTGAGTTAGTTTTATTACGGGAGATGCCAAAGGCCTTTCCAATATTACAATGTCCGGCATAACTTAAGATTTATTAACGAAGAAGAGCTACTAGAAGAATTGTTTATTTTTGTATTTGGTTGTATTAAACGACCATATTGTCATTTTTTAGTTAAAGCTCGTCTTACGGGGACTGCATAGTGTAGAGTGTAGAGTGCAGAGTGTAGAGTGCAGAGTGCAGAGTGCAGAGTGCAGAGTGCAGAGTGCAGAGTGCAGAGTGCTAGACATAATTTTAAGTGACTCTCCGTTATAGAGTGGCAAATCCGATTCACGACGGTACCCTTAAAAGCTTTCTATGATCAAGAATGCATGATATATCCAGTGTCTTCCCTTTCAAAATTGATTATTTTTAAGCATGGTTTCTATATTAAGTGACTTCTGCGTCTATACTTCAAAAACAACGAAGAAAATATTCAGACATTAAAACTTATAAAATAAATAAAAAAAAAACTACGATATCCTCTGAAATATGTAGAGGGTATTGTTGTTAAATTGTATTGCTCCTCTTGTCACTTGTCATTGTTAACGACAGTCCCTCTACCTGTGTTACTAACTTATGTACAGGTGTTTTGCTGTACATCTTGGTGTACGGAGAAAACCCGTTCTATGATGCTACGGATACAGTTCGGGCTGAGCTTCATCCTCCACATCTAGAGGTGCAACTTTTTTTGTTTTTGTCTGTTTGTTTGTTTTTTTGACCGATAAACATCAAAACGGCTGAACCGATCGGTCCAACATATTTGTGGGGCTTCACATGATTTATTTATTTCATGATTTTTTATTTTATGATTTATTTCACATGATTTATGGATAATTAGTATTGGAAAAAATTGCCTCCAAAAAAATATTTTCAAAATCAACGAAAAAAAATCGATAAAAGAGCAACAATTAAAATCATTGTGTACTTGTATTGATATTGTATTTAATATCATCATTTTAATATTTCTTCTTTTGTAAATGTTTCCTTCTATCATTATGTTATCGATAAATATCATCATTTTTATTTTTATTGTCTTTGTATTAATGCATTAATGTATCATGGCATAATTGGTATCATTCAACAATGTCGGGTACTTTCCCAAATGTGCAATTTTTCAAACGGCAACTTCCCAAGTCTGTTCTAGTCGCAGCGCTCGGCCCCAGCATGTTTAAGCCGCGGCGCTCGGCCCCCAAGCCCCAGTGCTCGTTTCCCATTGCAGCCTGCGGCGCCTCTGAGAGCCTAACCTTTGGGAAGTTGCCACTTTGGAAATTTCACATTTGGGAAGTAGCCCTTGGGAAACTACCTAACACCTTATTCAACTATCCTTGTATTAGTGTATTATTGTGTTGTCTTTAAATAGTTTTTGCATTTGTAATTGCATCATGATACTAATGCATGTTTGTACCTGTTACATGATTGTTAGAACTTGATGTTTAAATCTAGATATCAAGTACGGCTTGGGGTCTGATTGAGAGTATCTTGGAACCGGATCCAGAGAAGAGAGCCAGCCTTTGGTTTATCAAGGTTAGTTTTAGCAGAACCTTTATTTCTATTTATAAAACAAAACCTTTAAACAAAATCATAAAACATTCGGTACTTGAACCTTCAAGTTGTTTGGTGGAGCCTCAAGCAATCCATAAAAGTCATAATTTTATTTGATTTTTACTCAGTAACTTCACTTCGGGATTGAGTCGCTTATAAATCTAATATGATTTGATTTTCAGGAGCATAGTTGGGTAACTCAGCACTGTGCTGTCGAAGACTACAGATTTCAGGGATATATATTAAAAAGCTAGGCCTTCAGTCCAATTATCTTGTATTAATTTCACCTGTTAAATATCCTTATAGCAGGTATGGTTTCAGGACAAAATGTTATTGCATCCTTTCCTTTCTAACTTTCAAACCTAAATTTTCTTTGAAATTTGATGGAGTAAATTTTTTGGCCTTTTGATCTAGCCTAAGTCTGGTTGCGATGGTATTTTTTCCAAAATAATTTTTTTTGGTAGGGGGGGGGGGGTT